GGCAGTCGAGTAATAGCTGTAGTGTGAGAGGAAGTAAGTATTATTGGAAATACATTTTCAATTTAAGAAAATATCAAATTTACTTGCCATCTAAATGGTAAAACAGTTAAAGCTAAATGCATGACATGTTACAGTATGTGATACATATTGACTATGTGATTTCAGCATTTATTAAACTCTATATTGAATGTCCTGTAACTGTGAAGGAGGGAAATATATAAAGCATCAGGTAAATAAAATACCAGTTGTATTGTCATTCCTTTCATTTCTGCAACTACAACAGGTGTTACATCACTACATAACAGACACAGCATATTAAGTGAATTTCATGATGAAACTGATAGTATGGGTAAAAAAAGTACAAATACTCTGTTACTTTCATTCAAGTAAATCATGAAATGCTAGAAGCTTTCATCAAGATGATGCTACTGGATTCATGGATAGTTTTGCTTGAACAGAAAAGAGTTTGATTAACTGTTTGCTCATACTATTTATGCAAGTAACACTCATTTCATATTATTTAAAATATCATTATAGTTTAGTTGAGACCATCAGAAATATTTTTTATGATAGATAATGCCACCAATATGAAGGTTGCTTGGGATAAGTGAGAAACCATACATCCAGTGCTATTAGTATACACTTTGTACAATAGAACTCTTTTATATATGATTTAGAGAATCTGAAAACATTAAAATCCCACGTTTGCAAGAGCAAAGAAGTTGTTAATTACCTGAAAATGAATAAGTGCTAGCAACCATTTTGAATCATCAATAGCTTCAGTACTTCCCTTTCATCATCACTCATTAAACTTTGCACAAATCAGTGGACTTTGTCTACTAACAAACTTCTCAAAGACTTTCAAACTTACAAGAAAGCTTTGCAGTAGCTGCTATAGAAGAGAGGTGTTTCTGATTGCTGTATGAGGAATATCTGTACTGATATCCTTAATCAAAATGTATTGTGGATATAAAACTCAAATGTCATGTAGTATCTTTAGTTTGTAGTATATAATCCATTTGGTTGCACAGTTATATGGGATGACATACTTGGTGTAGAATCTTCAAGATCTCTTTCCATTAATATGTTGGCAGGGGAAAAAAAACTGGATTTTTCATATATCTTATCCACTGGAGTTGATGTTATTGTTTCTCTTTTACACAACAGAGTTTGTTGAATGGAACACTTAGGAGTCCATGTACTCTAAAACAAGACAAGCTGAAGATATTTACAGTTTACAAAATTGGTAGTTTTTAGTACTTATTTTTCACTTGGAACAAATTGTATTCTTGGATGGGATATGGTAATAAGAAAAATTGTTCAATGACAATTCACAGCAATAAAGAGTTTAGTGTAGGGTACTTGGTTTCCATGAGGTTTGGAACTGTGACAGTGTACTTTAAAATAGTTTTATGTTAAATAAAATTTGAATTAGTTTTTCTGTGTTAAATATAGCTATCATAACTTAGTGACTGACAGTGTACCACCTTTTCCATTTTATGGGAGGTTTAGATATAAAATTGGTAGAAAATAAGAACTTGATTTTATGTAATTTTCATTTCATTTGCTAAGTATTGCATTTTTTGGACATACATTGTCCTTAGAAGCCAATTTTTCTATAAATGATAACATTATTAAGTAATTGCTGCTTTGTACTTATTTGCCTCTTCTTACTCCTGTCATATACATTTCAGTTTTTCCCCTTCATGCTGTGGATCTTGTACTTATTGCAGCTAAGAGCTGGACTGGTCGAACACATCATACTAATTAGTGCAGTTAATATCAAGTCACATCAAACTTAATACTTACTAAATTTTTCAATGGACCAGAGTCAGTTAATAATATTAACAAGGGATTTTAATAGTCTCAAATAAACTTGTATAATCAGTTCATGTAGTGAAGTTGTGACAGACATGATTATTTTACTGAAAAAATTATATATATATCTATATACATGTATTAATATTTCATTGTCATAATACAAAAGTTATGACTAATATTATATGAGAAACTTGTTGATTCCCCAGTCACAACTCTTAATGGTTTTCAAGGGTCTGCTAGGTCAGTTACATTTCTGACCATTTATAGGGATAGGTTTTATAGACCACATTTTGATATGGTTATAGGTAATCATACTCACCATGTAAAAGTAATTCATCTTATATTTCCAAAAAGGTAAAGCTTCAACTGGTTAAAGTAAAAGATTGAATTTTGTAAAGAAAGTAGTTTAGAAATCTGTTTTTCGGCCAGTCCTGTATAATGAGAATTATTCTGATCCTGTAAGTGTACAGTAATAAGATTCTGCCTTAGTATTATGATATGTTGATACATTTATTTGTTTTCGTGTATTTTTTAGATCAATAAGAGCATCGGCTACAGAACAGTTTACTCTTATGGCTACAAAATGTTATCCAGGACATCAACCTCTAGTCTTTTTTATAACTTTACTTTTTACTCAGCTGAAGGTGAGCTAATTCATCAAAGTTTTTTTTTCTTTCATTGAACCACCATAATGTTCTGGTACTGTTATAATAAAAAAAAATGCTATCACTTTTTAATGTTTTTGTTGTAAATAGTTATCTTTTAATGGCAACTTTGCCCCAAAGACAAAAATATTTATAATAATAAAAAGTTAAATTTGTAGTATAATTCTGCCTGCTGAATGTAAATTCAAGATAATAGAAGTTATCTAAAATTCAAGATTTAAAATGTGTTCATATAGAAAAGGTAAGTATTTTCTAAAGATTTTCTAGACCATCGCTAATTTATTAGTGTGTGAGCCTTATATGAACATATACTAGTTTGAAATTGGTCAAGTTGTTTTCATTGCTACTTTTTATTATGTAGCAATACTTTTAAGGTATAATTTGTTTTAATTAACATTTTCTTGTGCAGCTAGACAACTTACAGGTGTAAGCCTTCTTAATTTGCTCAGTGTTATCATCAAAGGATCATTCTGTGTAAAATTTATATGTTTAATGTGTCTTAAGATGTTCAAGTAAAAAAAGCATACTAAAGTATTCATTGTGTTGTCTTGAAATATCAGCAACTATAGTATGTGCATTCCGTGGCTGAAGTATAAAGTATGTACAATTGGATAGAAAAAAAATTGTAGAAGGGCAAAATAGCATCACATTATTATTTAAGGTAGGAGTATAAAGCTACATAATTCAGAGACAAATAAGTTGGTGCACTCTTCTAGGGCCCCTAAAAACTTTCAATATTTATATTTTTAATATATTCTACAGTTGTTGTGTTTGATCAATTTTGTGTTTTGTTGTTTTTGAGTATAACGTCTTTTTATATTTCTTATAAAACTGAACTAAGGTTATGAAGCATGGCTCCATTATAAGTCTCTACTTTGGAGCCATACAAAACCTGGCATCAGGCCTATTAGACAAAATAGAAAAAGACACTGAATTTAAATTTTAAATTCAGGTGATTTTTTCCCTTTGTTTTTGTCAGCTAAAGCAATTTTATGATGAATGTGCTGTAATTTTGTTATAGACCACAGTGCGAGAAAATGCCAAAAATTCCCATGAGTTTTTTCAACTATTGTGTCGTCTCTTGAATTATGCCAGTGGTAGTAATTGCCCACTTCCTACAGCCCAAAATCTTCTGTATAATGAAATTGATTGGTTAAAGGAGGTGCGGGTAAGTAGTTTATGTTTCCTACCTAGATTTTGAAGGACTAATTAAAATGACATATTTGTAAAATATACTTTTTTAATACATGTTATTCATTTGAGATTATTGCCATAAGTTTTATACAATTTTCAGAGAACTGACTCGTAATTAGCTAAAGTAGAACTAAACATTGTGAAAGTAACCTATTGTTTATAATGTTATTTAGACACTGTGAAACATAGAATTTAAAATTGTTAGTATTATTAATATTGTGTGCTGTATAGCATTATTGACTGTACATCTATTCTGTGTTGCTTTACTCTATGGAAGGTTTTTCATGTCAAAAACCTCATCTTAACCTGTTCACTGTGAAATAAATCTTCAGGCCGATTCCCAAAAAGTGTCAGTTAACCATATAGAAATTCCTTATATCAGCAAATTTCAAATCCTGTATCACATGTTAGCATGTAAGAGGATATATACTATAATTCCTGGAAGTCACTGATAAGTATAAGAAACATATCACAAAAGTAATACACCTATAAAGCAATAAAATCAGTTCCAAAACACAGAGTTGAAGCACGCATCACCACGTGGTGAGTCAGCTGAGACGTACAAACATCCAGGTTCCATGGTGTAGAACACAGATGGCAGCACACATGCAGGTTTGGCGATTGTTTCAAGTACAGGGGATATTTCTGCATGTTGCAGTAGAGGGAAACTTTTTTTGGGAGCCATGGGTTAAATCCAAATTTTGCATAGAAACGGGTATATATTTTTATTCAGATATATCTGAACTACACAGCAAAAGGGTTAATATTTATTAATTGAAATAGCTATATGTGAATGATTTTTATAAATTTTACAGAAGCAGGTAGAAATCCGAAAATACTTGTATGCTTTCACACAAACCATATGTGCATTAAAGTTAAATTTATTTTTACTAAGGGCACACAGAAGTTTTTTTGTTTTTTTTCATGTCCATTTTCTGATGGGTATCTTTTGGTTCTTAACCCTTTCATCACCATAAGAAAGTACAATAATTTAACTACCAGGCTTCTATGTGAGATGATACTGATTTTTATTCTGTCAGTCCTTAAAGATATCTAAAATAATAAATAAAGCATTAGTGTTTTTGCTAATTGTTTAAATAATGCAAGTAAATATTAAGTATTAATGAAAACTTGTAAATCTCCACTTCATCATCATTGTGTTTAATGTCTCATTACATTCTTTGCAATTTCCACCTGATTCTCTCAATTGAAGGTCTTTTATACATATAGAAAATAAAAATACTTTTGATATTTCAAGTTGCTCAAAATATTTGCTAACTTTGTTTTTAATTTTATTTTGTTAAAAAATGTTTATTAATGATACAAGCCTATCCAAACATAAAACATTGTAATATTTTCTTAAAACAAATTGTTCATAAAAAAGGTTTAGAAAACGTTTTCTCTTCCGCTCTGAACTGAATTTATTTTGTATTTTCAGTTTGTTCAGAACTTTAATTTTAGTGGTTGTTCACAAACTCAATTCCTATATATATTTCTTGTATGTCAATTCTTTATGCATGTAATAAGTATAACTTTTTGATGTATGTTTTCAAAGTGAATAATGAAAAAAAAAGACCCCTTGTTAATTCTTTGGCCAGTTTAGATATTACAGCAGTTAATAGAAGAACTTTATAGAAAGTTTTCTAAGTAGAAACTTGTGAATAAAGCTAGGATTTTATTACTAGCTTTTGTTGATAACTTTGTCCGTTTTTTGTTGTTTTTTTCACTATATTTTATTGAGAACTACATACTCAAAGTGTGTTTGAAGAAAGACCTAGCCAGCTATAAAAAAAGGATTAATAAATACTTGGCCATATTTTTGTTTAGTTTCATTAAGTAACACACATTCCAGTTTTCATTATTTGCATTATTTTGTAATAAATAATTATAAACAATACAGTGATAAGCTGATTGATTATATTTACAAATAAATAAGTTTTACTTTCATAAATTTTAAATACTTCTTCCTTAACCAAAATGAACATTGGAATCCTTCCATAACCATTATACAAGAGACCAGTTTGGAAAACAAAGTGAAAAGCTGCAGTTTGAACCTTACTTAATTATATACATGAGTCAATCAGATGTTTTTGTTATCATATCTCAAACATAATTTCTCCTCTTTTAACCATTTAGGGGAAAACAACTGATTTTTACACACACAATAATTTGAGATAATACTTAAAAACAACCAACAACTTTAAAAAATTCTATCAAAGGTTTTTTTTTATTATGTTGAAGTTTTATATATTAATCTTATCCAGACTGGAGAGCACCTTTCAGGTGTCAAAAGCATGACTGCATAACAAATTTCATAATTTAAGTCCAAATAATAATTCTGACCATTTCATTAACTTTTAACTCCAAAGTATTTTAGAATTGACATTTTGTCATATTTATTTGGTGTAATTTCCAAAAAAAAATCAAACTTACATTTCTGTGCAACTCTGAGGACCTCTCATCTGTAAATAGTGCACTTGTAGATTTTTTCTTTAGAATTTTTCTGCCCATCCCAAAGCACAAGTTTTTATTATGTTAAAAACTACCATTCCTGGAGAATATAATTAGCAAGTTTTACGTCTTTAATGATTTCTTTTTCTGTTTGATATTTAATTATGATAAGGCTTTTTTCCACCCTTTTATGATGATGTAACACGTGGTCAGAACAACTACTAATGCAACACATCTTTGAAAATAGCTACAGGCAAAGTTTAAATATCGTTGAATAGAGCTGATTGTAAACTATTTACATCAATATAGAAGCAATAAAGGGGTGTAAGAAGTAACTTATAGTTGTTGTGATCAAATGGCAAGATACATTTCATGCAGAGAATAACAGTGGAATTTAATGCTGAGTCAAGAATACTTCAGAACAAACCACCAACCTGAGAATTTTTAAAAATTTCTTTAAACATTCTTTGTGTTCCTGAATAAGTTCTTGTGTTACGTTATATTTGTTTGAAAGCTGTGAAAAGGGAAAAAAAATCAAGGGATGTCGGTGACACACCCAGTGTGGAAAGGGTTAATATATTGCAAAGCAAGTAGGTTAGCTGTTAATTCATAAAGCCCGTAAGTGTTGACAATGATAAAATGACAATGATAATATCTGCTGCTTTTTATATTAATTAATCATACATGTATTTCTTACAAAATCAATATATTTTATGCAATTTTTTTCACTTGTTCTGTAGTTATATGGGCAATGCAGACTTTAATCAACTTCATTTGTTACTTTTCAGGAAAATATCAAGACTACAGGTAGTAGTCAAGTAGATGAAGTACTGTTGGAAGGACATCTTGGAATTACACGTGAACTTGTTTCTTTCTTGGGGCCTGAGAAAAAATTTGAGGTTGGGGCAGAGCCGTCTTATAAACGAGGAAACTTAATTCAGGTAAAAAATCATAACATGCTTTCAGAAGTTAAGCATTCTTCTGTTCCTTCTTATTTTACAGAAAAAATTGTTATCTAGACTTAACTTCAAATAATATTATAATGTTTTAAACCTTACGTGTTTTTATGTGGTAGCCAGCTTTTATGTATATGTGTGTGTACATATTCATATTAATTTTTAAGTTTGTATTGTATAATTGTGATTATTCTAAATAAAGTTTTTATCAGTTCAGGTTCATTTAGCTACAAATGATAAAGTATATACAAAATAATTGTTAAATGAACATGACAGTAATGTTTTTTAACATCAGGAACTTATGGAGGATTTCATTTTCCCTGCTTCGAGGGTTGTTGTTCAGTTTCAAAGAAGTGGTGGAGAACTCCCAGGAGAGCAAGCTATTCCTGTTTGTTCAACCTCTGCCTCGGCACTTGCCGCTTTTGACTTACTTGCAGCACTTTGCACAGGCTGTGTTCCAAACCTTCGCATTCTTGCAGATATGTTAACTGAAATGTTCTATTCTGGTAAGTTATTTATGTTGAGACAAAAAAAACATTAATCATTAACTTGTGTACTTGTACATCATGTATTGGGAACAGAGAAGAAAATATTCAATTATAAATGTGTCTTCAGAGCTTGTTCAAGTTTTTATAGTGTAAATAAAACTTTATTGTTTGTAGTGTTAGGTTAGTAAAACTCTGTAATGGATAAAAGAAGATTTGAAGTAGCACCTTAGATACTGACTTTTCAATGTGCTACTCTTTTGTGATAGTATAACAAGTGGTCTGAACAACTACCTGATGAAGCTCAGTTTTTAAAACAGTTGCAAGCGAAGTTTAAATATCATTACATAAAGCACGTTATAAACTATTTACATCAGTATAAAGGCAGTAAAGTGGTGTGAAAAGTAATTTATGGTTTATAGCTTTACGTACAGTAACAACCATGAAAATTGATTACAGGTAAAAAGATTTCTAAGTTTGCTATAACACAACACAGTATTTTAAAAATTAAATTTTAAGTGATTGAACTTGTTCCATAAAGACAGAGAGGCTTTCTTTAGCAAAATGATGGTGAAGTTAATAAATCTCTAAATATGTATATTTTTACAAAAGCTAAAAGTACGTGACAATTATAAGTAATGGAATTGAGGTTCAGTTGTCAACTTTTTGAAGGCTATAGTTAGGCCTAAATAAAATGTTTTTAACTGTGTACCAGTTTAACGTTAAATATTATTTATGATTTTAACTTTATACACAAGTGCCAAAATACTATAATTAGAGTATCAGTTGATTTGAGCAAAATATATTGATCATATTTTGGTTGTAAAAGAGAATCTTTAAAATTATATAATGCATTTCAGGTGCATAAAATTATTTGTTCCAAATCTAAGAATAATTCAGAAATAAATCAACAGTGCTTTTAAAAGTTTGCTTTCCACAAAAAAATGTTTGACATTACCAATATTGCTTAAAGGTATGTGTATTTTTATCCAAATGAATGATTCAAATTGACATATTTCACCAAAGAATCATTAACACTTATAATGCGGAAGACTCAAAACTGAATTTTAAAAGTGAATGTAAAGTGGTTCAGATTCATAGATAACAGTCATCCACTAACCACTTTTGCAAAACAGTGTTATGTTTTGGTAGCAAGACTTGGCTCGTCTTCTGCATTATTAACATTAGTATTTAAAAGTAAAACTAGTTCATAATTTTAACATATAATATGTGAGGGGTGCATTTTAAAAAAAAAATTTTTTCTGTATGGACGAATTGTTCATTATTATTGTATTATCTATCTAGTGAATAGTACGTATAAAAATATATACTGTGAAATAAAAGAATTATTCTTCGTAATATCATATTTTTGTTGAATTTCTAGAAAATGAACAGACATTAACAGAATGGGAGTACCTCCCACCAGTAGGCCCTCGTCCTCCAAGGGGATTTGTTGGACTAAAGAATGCTGGTGCTACTTGTTACATGAACTCTGTATTACAACAGGTAAGCTTATATTAGCTTCCATACTTTGGGGGAGGAAGGATATTATTGGTATCCTTTAACATTTTCCTTCTCAAAGTGAAAGTACTTAATCACACTGCATGGAACTAAATTAAACATACCAAGTAGTATTTAGTGCTACTTTAAAAGAAATCTTATAGTTTGATTTTGTTATGTTGTGAAATTTCCAAAAGTTTTTGAGATACTTTTGTAGAAAAACATTAAAATATATCTTTTTTTTCATCATAGAGTTTAATTTCTCTTATTATTATTATTGATCAGAAAGTTCCATTTTATAAATTGAATCAGTTTCAACTTGATTAATTTTTCATTAACATATTTATTTCTATACTTTATCTTCTACACTGCAGTAGTTACCACATCCAGCTATAAATCATAAAAAAACATTATAACCCTCCAAGCATGGGTTAGTCATCTGTAAGTCTTTATTGACACTAAAATTAATTTACCATTCAAATATGCATTTAAAAAATAATCAAGAGGTCTACTCATAAAGTCTGAGGAAATCGTGTGAGAAACGAAACTTTGAGAATTATAGTTTCAAGGGGTGATAGCTTATTAGCAAAGATAAGCATATGCATTTCGATGAGCAGAAAAATTTAAACAAATCAAAAAACTGATAAATGCAATGTTTACAGAAGAGACTATATGGAGCTGTGCAGATTTCATGAATTTCATCAAATTTTAAAGGGACAAAAAAGAGCTTATCAGCCCATCAAGGATGTCCCTTCTACCTCCCAACTATAACCACCCCTTATTACTCATGTATTATACCAATCTTCTCTTGAATTCGGTTAAATTTTCTGCCTCCACCGCCCTTGAAGACAGCTCATTCCAAGATCGAACCACCTTCTTTGTAAAATAATCCTGTCTAAACTGCAGACGACTCCTATACTGCCAAAATTTGAATTTATGCTCCCTTATCAACTCCCATATAGCCCATCAAAAATGACTGGGCAAGTACTACCACCCCCACCCCATAGTATACCCTAATCTCACATTTCATAGCTAACTGAAATAAATAAATTCTGTGCAAACAAGAGCTAAAAGAGTGCAGTTGATGCAGTCCAACACCGTTAAATTCCTTTGTGAGCCAATCAAAATGAAGATCATTCATGAAATGAATTCGTGGCATATTCATAGAATAATTATTGGTGAAAACCATTTAGAGTAACAACTTCTAATATATAGAAAAGCCAGTATGTTTTGGTAAGAGTATGTTCCAATAATGGCTGTTATGTCATGTTGCTTAGCAACAAAAGTATAACCTAATATTGTTATTAGTCTCTGTACTGAAAGTATCAAAATGAAATGTGTAGACAACAAAACTGGAAAAATATTTCTTAATTTAGAGTCTCCCTTTGTTTGTTATTAAAAACGTTGGTGATATAACAGAAAATAACCTAATTCAGAAATGATTTATGTTAAAAATTGAATCGATATTTTTACTTTCATGATAAATTTTATGCACTTGGATCTAGGCTAGGTTATACCACACTACGTCTTTACTTTAGGTTTATTATACCAACACCTACTACACCTATAAGGTTTCATGTACACTTGCATTCCTGTCACTAACATTTTAATGGTCAGACAGTAATCGAACTATCGGATAAATGCATTTTGGCTTTTATGACTCCTTCTATTTTGACAAATCAAGCGTGATATGACGAGACACACACTGGCTTTTATTTAGGTTAGATTATGTTCCTTAGTTTTTTTAATTAATCAACATGGTCTAAGCCAAGTAATTATTGTGTTTGGAGTAATAGTTGGTGTTGCTGTTTGTGTCTTTGTTCAGGTTTTATATGTTGTCATTCACTGATAATGGCAAAAAAAACAGCTAAATTACAAAGTAGTAGTTTTGAAAGAACTTGTTCTCAAAAACTACCATTTGTTAATATTAAGATATCACGTAGCTAATAAAGGACATACTTAAAATTGTCTCAAGTAAATTTAAGCTAAGTGTTTGATCACAACTCAGATTTATCTAGTTATACTTTATACGTCTTTATTTTTTAATCTAGAGTTACAGTATATCAATTCACACATTTTTTATGTATGCCTAATTTTGTGGAGTTAAATGTCATTGATAAAAATTAAGAAAACGGAGTCTCTTAAGTTGATAAGGGTCAAAGTTTTCTTGTTTAAACTTAAATTTGGGAAGAAAATGAATTCTAATCAAAACCTAAATGTTAAGTTATACGTGTATTATTTTTTAAAAGCTACAATAAATGTACACTTAAAATCTTGTGAAAATTTAAGAAGTAGAGTTTATATACTAAATACATATATCCATCTTTTCAGTTGTATATGATGGAAGAAGTACGAAATGAAATTCTAGCTGTCGAAGGAGCTGCTACTGATCCTAATGAAGACTTTTCCGGAGAGGAAAGATTAGAAAATGAAGTAAAAAAAGGGTTTTTATTCTTTACTAAAACTGTATGTGGTAGTTTATGTGAGATACTAAACTGGAACCATTAAACATTTAAACACGAGTCTTAACACGACACTTGTTTAAATCTTAAAACTTGAATGAGTTTGTTTTATTTATTCAATTTCTGTTAGTGATTAGATGGGTAATGGTTCAATAGAACATGCTCATCTATTTAAATTATGTTTTTAAAAATAATGTGGTTTAGTTTTTAAGTTTTGGCATAGTCATACTTTTCAGTTATAATGATAATAATAATGATATAACTGAACTTCTTTTATTTGATTTTATTGTTACTGTGGTTTTTGTGTATGTTAGTACATCAAATATATAAAGTGAGATTTCTCCTTTCTTAATTCCAAAAGGCTGATTTTATCTGTTAAGTTAAATGGCATATCAAGAATTTCATATCAGCAATGTAAAGTAATATACCATAGTATAAACCAAATTTGCTTTACAAAAGTACATGTTAAAGATATTATAGTTTAAAGTAACAAAAATAAATTGAATTGTTTATTTAAGTCGCAAAGTAATATTGAGACTGGTGAAAGTGAGCAATATGACGAGAAGCATCCAGATCGAGAAAGTTCGAGAAAAGAGTACAATTTAGGAGTGTTAAAGCAAGTTCAGGCTATTTTTGGTCACCTAGCCTGTAGCAAATTGCAGTATTATATACCTCAAGGCTTCTGGAAACATTTTAAGTAAGTATTAAATATATTTTATCCTCTACTGGTAGTAACTGATCATTTTTTCAGGAATTTAGAGTGGTGTATTATGTCATTCTCAAGAATATTTGTCTTAATATATTTTATTGTTTACCTTGTAATAAATATTTTTACACAAATTTATATTGCATTTTTATCCTATTTCAGGAGCAATTCATTTATATTTATCCTCCAACAATTAATGAAGAAGACCCTTTACCCTACTTTACAATATGTTTTGCCTATTTTAAAAGTATTTTGTTTTATGTTTTTGATCCTCTAGTAGTTAATAAGTCATCATGTTTACATAGTTTAGAGCAGGAGCCACCTCATGCTTGAAATGAATGTATTTGTACTAAAAATATTTTGCACAAAACTTTTATTACAAAAAAAAGTTTATTTTCAGAGTTGATACAAGAACAGTTTTGTATTATGTATGATTTGTGGGAAATAAAACTTAATAATTAAATTTTTTTATACTTTCAGGTCTGTTGTATACATATACTAGTTTCTGAAACATAGTGTATCAACAATTAATTATTGAACAGATAATGTTGATGTTGTATTCTGGGTAGGTCACTAGTTTTACTGAATATGGCTCAAACATGGTTCGTACCAAGCTTCAAAAGATCAGAAATGTGTAAATTCCACATATGAAAATTGCTTTAAAAAAAAGATGAATTAAACAAAAGTTCTTGAATACTAAAATGTCTTCTTTGAAATGTTTTGTTCAGATATTTGAGAATATCACAAAATAAAAATTTCTCCCGCTCTTTGGTCCACTATTTTATATTCTGTCTCTAACTATCTCTCTGAGTTCACCAGAATATTAAGTTAAGTGTTATAAAGGCTATCGTAGCTACTTTATCAACTCTGAATGTATAATGAGTCATTTACAACCTAAATTATTTGTTGCAATAGTGATTGTGTGACTTACACTTACATGTTAAGAACAGACTGAGCATCTATTAACGAGACATTTAAGTATAATTTGCACTAGTAATAAAATGTTTGTTTAGAACTAATTTTTCTAACACATTCAGTATTTTTTTATTCTGCTCTGAATAATGTTTGTTGGGATAGATACTAACAGAATGTGTATATGTGCTATTCTATGTATTAACTCTGCTTTTGTGCATGTTGTTCAGTCAAGAACTCTACTTTGAGGTATTTATTGTCTCAAGCATCAATTTTAGAATGATCGTTTTTTTAGAATCGTAACATAGGTAAAGTAAGATGTAGAATTACACATTGATGTTTTTCTATATTGAAATACTTTTATTTGCTATCTTTCAGCCCTCTTACTGGATCTTTCATTGTTGCTTGATGAAGGCTTTGGTAATAGGGCTGGAAGCTTGAAAGTAAAAGTATTTTAACGTAGAAAAAAGTATGTATAATTCTATAATTCTACATGCAGTTTTAGAATGATGTTATTACTCTGTAGATTTAGTGTAGAGTGCAGGTTTTGGATCCTCTAGGCAAGTAGTAGGTACAGTTAACCACGTACTTAAGTGACTGGCTGTGGAAATTTAACATAATTTCATTATTCGGTTAAGTTAAAATGGCATTGCAATTGTTATCAATTTGTGGATCAAATTGTTCATCATGTTATTTTGAGCATGAATAAAATTGATGCCTTCATGTTGCTGAGCTACAGTGATACAGTAGCATATTTTCAATTTTAACCACTTCATTTATTTAGAAACCACTGAAATAATACTATACAATAATAAAAAATAATAATGAATATATAAAAGTAATTACTTAAATAAATGAACAAAGCTCTGAGGTTGATTAGCTTGAATTTAAGAAAAATCAATGAACCACTTATTTTTGTTTGTTACATTTTAAATTAATAAAATAGACCTAGTCCAAGTCTATGCTGAGGCACAAGTAAACATGAAATGATTTTACCTTTCTAAAACAGTGAGCTGTTTATTACAGTTGTCATAATTTTTGTTCTTTTGTCAAAGTAACATTTGTTATTTTAAAAGTATGAAATGTTGCAGTAGCAAGTGGACTTCATATGTACATTGTTACTTGCATGTAGAAATAGCTGTGTGCAGTATTCATTTTAGTTACGTACACATGAGGCAGTGTATCTGAGACTGCTCTTCTGTATTTGACAGTATAAGGGAAGGAAAATATTTCAAGAACTTCAGTTTACAGCTTGTATAGCAAAGACGTTCCATGTGGGTCTAGACTAATGCTGTCTGTAACGTGTTTTAATTGTGTGATGGTTACTATAATTATATTATTTTTAAATTTGCAAAGAGTGTTTATTTGTCACTCAATGTGGTTCATAGAAGGCTTTATAGTTTAATATTTTTAATGGAAATTTTTAAATCTAGTTTATTATAATACTCTGATTTAATAATTATAAAATTTAATAGGCTTTAGTAAATACTTTTTCTTGTAAATGTGGAGATAAGATTGAATACTGAAGTAACTGATGCTTCAGGGTTCTGGAATAATCCTATCCCATTGTGAAAAAGTTTTTGAATTTTATTATTGTTCTGATATACAAAGACACAGAGTACTTCTGTACAGTTATTATCTATAGTAATAAAAGGGTGTGTGTGTGTGTGTGTGTGTGTGTGTGTGTGTGACTGCCATAGCTTCAAGAGGAAAGAACCTAGAATCCTGAAATTTTGCACACGTACTAAGTGGACTCTGAGGGTGTGTCTCTTATCTTATCCATGTGTGTGCACATCTTTTTAATGAAGCAAGCTAGTGAAAAACCACAGAACAGAAGTGGTTTCTTATATTACAAGTAGAAATCACAGACAGACATACACGTGTGTGTCTGTGTATGTGTGTGTTCACTGCCATAGCTCCAAGATGAAAGAACCAAGAAACATGAAACTTTGCACTCATACTAAGTGGACCCTGAAGGTGTGCACCTGGGTATTACTTATCTTACCTATGTGTGTGTGAGCATGCACATCTTTTTAATGAGGCAAGCTAGGGGAAAACCACATAGAAAAGAAGTGGTTCCTATAAAAATTAAAACCGAAGATTATCTACATTCTTTATTTGAAAATTAATAGTTTCTAAACACAGTAGTGTGTTGTTGTGAAAATATAAGGAATTAGAGTGATAGATGATTTAAACATTTGAAGTTACATGTTCCTAATGATCTTTGATTCTCCAATAAATCAGTGACATATTTTATGTTAAATTTATACATATACACTACATGTAGATTTAAAAATAGTCCAAATTATTTTTCCATTTTTAATAAGAACTTACAAAAACCTTTTTGTGGCATTTTTGTTTTATACAGTTGTGATCTAAACAAGATGAGCATTAAGTGAATGAAATTAAATAATAATGAAGTATAAAAAGCAAAAATTCAGGTTTGGTGTAAGCATGTTATATTATTTTTCTTGTTTTATTAGGTTGTGGGGTGAACCTGTCAATCTTAGAGAACAGCATGATGCCTTGGAATTTTTCAATAGCCTTGTCGATAGTTTAGATGAAGCTCTGAAAGCTTTGGGCCAACCCAGTATTTTGTCTAAGATTCTAGGTGGTACATTTGCTGACCAAAAGATTTGTAAAGATTGTCCACATAGGTAAATAAAGACTTAGTGGATTGGAAAGTGTTCAGTTATAGCTTTAACAAATATTAAAATAGTAAAGATTATTTACATATACATATATGCTGTAATAATAATACTTAACTAAAAATAGTGCTAAAACAAAATATTATTACTGATAATGGGAAGTATTAAGAGCTGAAAAGTTTGATAGTAAAAATGTCCTTAGATCTAGACCAAATTAGAAAATGTCCATGCTGTTTCTGATGATCAACTTGCTAGTTTTTATCCAAATTACCAGAATTCTGTGGCTTTGTAACCAACATTATATATATATATATATATATATATATTATACCAGAAAAAAATTTAGGTAGTTCTGTATTACCAAAAAGTTCTCATAATACTCTTAATTCAAATTTTTTTCAGCTAATATTAATGACTAAATATCTTTAGTTGTTAGTATTTTACTCACTGTAATGTTGAATTTGTAGACTTACAGGAATTTTGAATTTGTTTATTTTAAGCCTAATTTGACAGCTTCTTGTTTTAAGAATGCTGAAATACTGACTTAAAGAATTTAAAGGCCTCATCATCTAATTAGTGAAGTATGTAAATGAATTAAGAAGTTTCACGTCCCTGTCTACTATATAGCAAGATTACAGTCAAGAGAACAGGTTTGACAAAATCAGCTAGAAATGTGAGAATTATTATAAAATTACTCTAATCAAGAAAAACTATGATTTTATCTTATTCTATTTTAAAAGTTCAAGTTCAGAGACTGTTTAGATACAGTTTCCTAATCTGTCTGCTTACAAATAATAGGTTCTATGTGTTTTCAAATTAATTAACAAGAAAACATTAGGTTCAACCTACTTATTATCATGGTGCCTACCAATAAGTTTATAGGGAAATGCCAGAAATTTATTTTTTTGTACAATATATAGTTGACATAAAAACAATATTCACAGTGGTAGTTCATCTATGTTTTAATTACTTGCTTCTCAGAATTTTATCTTCATTTTTGTCTCTACTAGGACACACAGACTTAAACTTGGCAACAGATGCCTCTAGTGTAAAGTTAAATTAATAAAACATTTTTAAAGTAATAGAAATTTCGGGAATTAAGTGCTATTTTCTTTTTTTGAGAAGCCTTAGATTCATGAAGTTTTACATACACAATGCAGAACATTCCAGTAAAACTAAAATTGTTTTGCTCTTAGATATTCAAGGGAGGAGTCTTTTACTACTTTAAATATTGACATCCGAAACCACAGCAATTTGCAAGATTCTCTTGAACAGTATGTAAAAGGAGATCTTTTAGAAGGAGCTAATGCTTATCATTGTGAAAAATGTAATAAAAAGGTGAGAAATAAATCTTTGATTTTAAACTTTTAATGTTGCTTACAGTAAAAAAAAAAAAACTAATAAAATACTAAAATTTAAAATAGAATTTCCAACTTTTTATCAACTTTATTAGAAAAAAAAGTATATTGTTATTTATATACAGAATTATTTAAAATTGAAGGGGCATGGGTTAGCCCTATGATAGAGTTCTGGATCTTAGAGCTGCAGAACTATGTTTGAATTTGTGTGTTACCACAAAATATTCCCTGCATTTTAAACTGTGTGTTCATTATAAGGTGACTTTTAATCCCTTAATATTGGTGTTTGTGTGTTGTTGAATGGTTGCTTTTCTCTTCGGTCAGTAGTTCAAAAATATGGAAAATAGCATTAATAACTTTGCCATAAATGCAGATACAACCTTACAATTGGGAAATTTATTTAAAATAAAATGAATATGGAAAACATGTTCAACAACCAAATAATTGATAAAGCATTTTTCAGTGTTTTGTTGGTCTCAAAGCTATTTTTGTGGTATGTATTGTGCATATTTGCATTGAAACATTTAGTGGATAAAAATTAATATATCTCACATGCCGAAATTCAAATAAAAATATCACAAAATGTTGATGGAACTATGAAAATAAAATTATTTGAAGGTTTTACGATATTGCTTGCACAAAGATGTGTTTAGCATTTTTTAAAATTCCAGCCAGTATTACGATCTCTATGGTTTGTGATTGTCTAATTGTTTCTGTCATTTAAGTGGTGTAGTATTATAAGTTGGACTTCATTTAAGAAACGAAATCAAGTTAAGTAAACAAAAACTAAATAATATGTGTGTATCCCAGTTAATTAATATATTGCATGTATAACTGTTGAAACCAGTGTATACTATTTTAGAATTACACTTACCTCCTCTGATAATATTTTTATAACAGGTAGATACAGTTAAAAGATTATGCATCAAGAGACTACCTCTTGTACTTACTATTCAACTCAAAAGGTTTGACTACGACTGGGAACGAGAGTGTGCTATAAAATTCAATGATTACTTTGAATTTCCTCGAGAACTGGACATGGAGCCATACACAGTAAGAGGGCTTGAAAAAATGGAAGGTAGATTTCTTACTTTGCATTGTTTTTTGTTTATTTTTTGTGGTTGATTATATTATAGATAGATCATAAAGCATGAAGTTAATGACTTACTCCTTTACATGTCATTCATGGTTTTTAATACTTCCTAAGTCATTTAATTTTCTTGACCTAATGATACTGGTAAAGGAAAATTTATAGAAAAATAAACGAAACAGAAAATATATTACAGGTTGATTATAGCGAAGGTTTAGCAATTAAATGCATCATATCTCATAAATGATGTGGCATAGGAAGGTGAATGTGCACGTTTGTTAAGGTTATCATGTGGATGCGAGTGCCACAGTTTTCACATATTTCCATCAAGGATGTCATTGTGACTTCTTTTATATATTTGCCATGGGTATAAATGAGTCTGGTGGTCACAGTGCCATTCAACCAATATGAAACAGACAAGTGTATAGAGAGTTGAAATAGTGAGATACTATTACACCAAAAGATGCAATGCTGGGGCATATCTTGGGAAATCTGTAGTGTGTATAACATCTGCAAGGGGTTTTGTTCCAGTTTATCTTTATGAAAGTCCATAAAATAATTTGAGGAGATAGAAACTGTCACTGGGGTCAGCCATGCTGTAGCAGAACAAGCCAGCACAAGTGCACATTATATTACCCAGTGTCTGTAATTACCAATTTCCTCTGTTTGTAAGTCTCTTTGGTCAACTTTGCAAATGTTTCCTTACAACCTGCATTATGTTTAAGTACTAAAGAAGTGGATTTAACCTAATATTTTTTGTTGCAGTTCTTGGCAGTATTGAAAGTCAGTGGCAAAAGGCCTGCCAATATCATATGGACTGATGAAACACACACACACACACACTTCAACCTTTCTGGAAGTGTCAACACATGCATTTTCATTATTTGTTTAGAAACTAATCCACAAGTAACATTTTCCTAAATACTTCCATGATGCTTAGGTGCCAGTGTGGCTTCACAGCTGATCTTTATTGGACTGTACTTTTTATGCAAACCTGCACAATCAATGCAGCATGGTGCCATGAAGTGTTCACAACCAATATGATTCCCATAATACAGCAATAAAATATGACAGACACTATCGTTTACATGCAAGATGGTACCCCTCCACTTATTGGTGAAATGTGTCTTGTGTGGGAACTTCAAACCACTTTCCTTTTGAATGTCCAACTCATTCACTGGATATAACAACACCTTGTTTCTAGTCATGACAGTACCATGAGAAGCCTCACAAATTCCAGACCCCCAAGGATGAACTTGTACAGAGAGTTGCCAGCATACCAAATGAGATGCACATTGTTGCTGTAATGTCCATTGTCACACGGATGCAAGACATCCTGAAAATTGGAGGAGCATATTAGGAATAGTTTCTGTGGTTGATCAGAGAGGAAGTCAAAGTGGTGCACGTGACGGCAACATGTGACAACTGTAGAAGTTGAACCCCTATTATGCTTTTAATGCCCCCGTGCAATCTCACCTTCCTAATGCCATCCTGTTTGTAAGATATGACCCACTGAATTGTAAAACTCTCTTTATAATCACCCTGTATTTCATTTCTTGGGGAATATATGAAGGTGTTTGATTTCAGGAGAAATTATTGAAGACATGACTGAAGGAGAGAATGATTTTACCAAATATACACTAAATGGAATAGTTGTGCACAGTGGGCAAGCTAGTGGAGGGCATTACTACTCTTATATTTTACACAGGTACGAGTTTTGTTTTAGTTTTTTAATAGCTTTAAATGGTGGGTGTTTAAGATATCAGTAAGTTGTAATTTATAATGATAATATATATATATATATACACACGTGCAAATAAGCATTAGAATCTTATCAATGCTGTTAGAATTATATGTAATTGAACGTACATTTCTGTATATAAATATATATCGCATACCACATTGAGAGAGAGAAATTTCAATAGAAGAAACATATTTTACAGTGTATTTATGATAGTAACAGATTCACTGTGGCTTTTAAAATTGTATATTTATTATTCTTTCTCAGCAGTTGAATTCTTTGTATACTCAAAGATTACTGAGGCTGTATCATGCTGTTAATGATTCAGAGATTTGTGTCCTGGGAAGATTAGTCGGTTTCTCTGTATTTTTTTTTTGCGGTACCTTTGAGAAAAGCATATTTTATTCATGCTGACACTGCCAGTTTTTATCTGTTGTGAGTTTCTGTTACTTCGAACATTTCAGGTTGTCTGATTATATTAAAGCACTGTATTACCCAGATTTGTATCAAGATGTGATTGTACAATATTTCTTCAGGGTTATTGCATGTCTCCAACCAGAAAGAATGTATTTTTGTTTTATTATAAATCTATATTATTCCTTTTTTGTAGTTTTTCATTGATACATGTGTTTCAAGCAGACATTATTTTCTCTGCATTTTTGGTTGCCTTGTTTTAAGCATTTCAGTCATTGCTCATGATTGATTTGACTGCTAAAATTACCCCATTTCCTTCTCCTTTTTATTCTGTCTATTAGTTACAGTCAAGCATATTGTTGCATCAGCAAGGTCACGTGACTAGTATCATGCCACGTCCTTCTCGAACCTTCGGGAATTATCAGGAGACTACTAGATTGGGGGGGTAGTCTGGCATATATAAGATGGTCACAATGTGACGGAACAATGTGTAATTGAACTGAGTATTGTCGAGCAAGAGCACGTGAGATGTTCTTTGAGAATTATAGCGTTTGTTATAGAGCGACTGTTGAAATTAAGTGTATCGGTAAAGTTGTATTCAGAAAGAATAAACCAGTTTTATTTAAGAAAGGACTTGTGTCGCTAAAGTTTCGTTGGAACGAATTTACGGAAAATTAATTAACTAACAAACGGAGACGTAACAATATAATAGTTTATCTAGTTTTTCCTTCCAATTTAAAATATTTTTTTTCATTACCAGTCATAGTGTCATTTGTTTCTATGGATAATGCCATATTCAAGTTCTGATCATCTGTACCCAGTTTTGCCATTGTGTAATTAACTTTATTGATGCTTTAGCTGACTTGAAGACTTCTTGTTAGTTCTAGGAAACCACAATTTTTTTTTTTTTTTAGTTTACTTGGGCTAATGTAAAACTTGTTATTGACAGCTTTTCATTATGGACACTTGTCCATATACAGTGTCATTATATTTTCTTTCCTATCCTGAATGTGTGTTGGTTAGTAATAGTTTGACACTTAGACAGTTATAAAATTAACAACAGAAGTTTAAAAGCCTTTTTACTGGTTCTAACTAATAATTTTGTAACCTAATATATTGAATGAGTCTTTCCTTCACCCCCTAGTTGATTATTATGAGATTTATATATTCTTGTTTGTACAGAATGTATAAGGTCAAAAAAAGTTTGGTAAATTCTATCTGACTTTTCAACTGCTACCTGTGTCTTATTTATTTTACAGCTTTTATATTCAGTAATACTTTTTGATATTTTGTTTACTTCAAATTTTTTACAGTCACTTTATTTTTACCTAATTTTATTCTTTTTGGATATTATGAAAATTATTTTTATACTTTTATTTGACCACATTACAAATTTATATATTTTTTTATAATTTCACATTTGAGTCTATTTTCTATTGAGTAAAAAAAAATAGTAATAAACAACGAAAATAAAATAAATACTTTTGGCTAGTTATGTTTTTCTCATCTTTTTTCCAACTTTCAAATTGTCCTTTATGTCTGATGACATACAAAAGTACCCATGTAATTTAAATATGACTTTGGTCAATTAGACTTACTTCCTGTTTTTCAGCTTTATGTCCACACATTATACTTCATTTCACCCTTCTTTCTTAACTCCTGAAAAAGATGAGTCCACCTGTTGAAAGTACTAGGGTTTTATAGCTCTCCTTAATATTTCTTTCTTTTGTGTTTTTAGCTTGCCTAGAAAACATAGAAATAAACTTTTGGCTTTATCAATTCCTGTTGGTTTCTGTTATCATAACTTCTAAAAACTGATAGTACTTGATAAATATCTGGAAATAGTATTTGTAGCCAAACTATTTATGTATACTTGGTGGATAGCAGGATATGTGTGAAATAATTGATTGTCAGAAAATTTAATTGTTGAGCAACTGTGAGTATAGGTATCAGAAAACTTTAAAAGATGTGTAATGTAGCTTCCAACCAACATCTATGGAGTTAGTGAAAGTCGTGATTATGGTTGATGTTGCAATTTAAATTATTACATAGTATCTCTATTGTTCTTATGTAAGTTGAGAGGTTTGGATTTTTTTTTGTATTATCAGACATAGCGATGGAACACGGCGGTGGTACAAGTTTGATGATGGTGAAGTCTCTGAATGGAAGATGGAAGATGATGAGGTGAGAACTTTTTTTGTATTTGTATTTCTCTGAATCTGTATGTTAGAAACATGAAATGCTTTATTCAGTTGCAGAAGAAATAGTATTAATGTTATTAATTGCTCTGTATGGTTTTAACTGTATTAAAATTAAGTTCTAACTAAATCAGTTTCGTAATCCAAAGTCTTGTTTTGTCATGGATTTTTAAGTGCTAAGAGGTTTTAGAAGCCCTATGTTGAATTGGAATGTGTTTTGTAACATTCCTTGAGTTTTGTTTTTATTTTATAAAATACTGATATAAAACATTTACTCTAAACTTTTATTTGTTTTGTTTTACAAAGTGATTTTTTTGCACTTCATTGAAGGAAATGAAAAATCAGTGCTTTGGGGGCGAATACATGGGGGAAGTGTTTGACCACATGTTGAAACGGATGTCCTACAGACGGCAGAAACGTTGGTGGAATGCATACATTTTGTTGTATCGACGCCAAGATGTAGAACTTAATAGTCTAACATATAGTTTGCATAAAATTTCTTTAGGTAGGATTTATCAATGAGTTGTAAACACTTGAATTATTTTTAATATTTCACCATTTTTACTTGATAGAGTATTATCATTGTTTTAATAACAGTTTTTCATAACTAAATCTAGTAATTCATTAAAAATCGATGTGTTTGTGTGTTTAAAGTGGAAATTGAAACTCATAAATAAGAATCATTTAATGTTTTGCTGTTATTGATAATTGAAGAAAACCTAAATCCTTATTATAAATTTTCTGTCTCCAATGTAGTGTTACCAAAAATGTGAAGGAGAATAAACTTTTTTAGATTTACTTTGCAAGTATGTATGTAGCTGTCTTTTTAATAATAACTATAAATATGGTTATGTAGCTTTATTAGTATGTTAAATTTTCTTTTATTGCTTAAATTACCCAAGTTTCTTTTATAATGTAGTGGCAGTAATGGCTATTGACATCTAAACATTATTATAGAAATTACCATGTGTGTAGTTTAATAAGATACACTAATTTCCCTTCAGAGTAATCGGGAAAGATCTGCAAGATAACAGGAGGTTTGGGCATGCAATGTATTTCAGAGTTAAACTGAGTTCTCTTTATTTTCACTGAGTTTAGAGTAAAGAAAGAGAATGGGCAAATTGTAAAATACAGTGAAAAACAGTCTCTATCTAAAGTGACAAGTGCATGGGACAAAAGATAGCATCTTTACTTAATTGTTAGCTCTCTCAAAACTCATAACTAAGAACTTGATAAGAGGCTTATGAAGAACTAATTAACTTTAATTTTAAACTAAACTTTACTTACCAGGCTGAGAGCTTTAACATAAGAGAGAGAGAGAGAGAGCTAACTGAAAGAGCATGGCATTATATACATAAAATTCTATAGTGCCCTCCCTCTCTGAATGCATGCATTACCTACATCACCGTTGATCATTCCAACAGAAAAATAATGGATGATATATCCTCAAAATATCCGTGGCCCACCAGTGGAAAAGATCATTGTCTACCTTTGTATGGTATTTTCTAATTTTACAGCAGTTTCTCCCACAAGAAATTGCATGTGATACCCTAGGGGAATGACCCATAGCAATAGGTAACTAGACAAAAAAGAACATACTCACATTCTTTAACCAAAGTTCTGCTTTAACCATCATGTGTATGAATGAAAATGTAGAAAATTTTCAGGTGAACTTGAAAAAGTTCACTTAACAAAAATAAGAAGGTAAAAAATACTTAGTATGTGTTCATTCTACACATGAAAGGAAAACTCATGTTTAAAAGTAGTTCACTGCCCATAGACTTATATAGGGAACTTAAAACTTACATGTTTTATGAATAACATTGTCATTGAATGATTCTTGTTATAACACTGCATAGTTGTAATGGTAGTTTTGATATCTTGTGACTGTGTTTGTCTGAAACTGATTTTGTTTGTGAAGTATTATTTTGATTTATGATGATACAATTCTTAATGATAAAAGCTAATGAAAACAGATGTGGAAAAATACATATTTTTTAAATGCAATAATAATTCAAGTTATCACACCACAACTTAGAGATTTTATGTATATAATTTCCTTATTTTTAGCTATACACTTTTTCTACTTCTCTAGATCTGTAAAGATGTTGTGTTATGTATGTGTGTGAGTTTTTTAAGCAGTAGATTTAAATGTATTTTGAACATTCTTATCCTTATTTAAACAGATAATAACCACCGTATCAGGATGCCCTTAGCTATTGAACAGAGTGTTAGACGGCAAAATACCAAGTTCATGCACAATAGAAACCAGTTCAGTAGTGAGTACTTTCAGTTCATGAAGAAATTAATCAGCTGTAATGCACCATATGTTGCCCCTCAACCAGGACAAGACAAGCTGGTAGGGCTCTTGAAATTGTATTCTTTGTTATTTTTAAGATTTTTTTCTTTAAAATCATTGCGTTATTTAGGTAAAGTGATTGAAATTTCCTCCATATTTATTTCACAAGAATTCATGCAATGTAATCCGATTCAGATAATGAAGTACTTGTATGTATATTTAAGAGAATGTGTTTGTGATCTCTTCTAGTCCCCCGAAGCAGAAGAGCTGGCTATGATAAGTGTACAGTTAGCTGCCAAGTTTCTTTTTACTACAGGATTTCACACAAAAAAAAATTTGAGGTTAGTAAAAGCTTAGTTATTATGTTACAGCATCTAGATAATCCAGTGGAACTACTGTCTAAAGTGGGTTTAGTTGTGTGAAGATTATTGCTTCAGTCAAAATCACCATCTTCATTTGTTTTATGTGTTAATCCAGTATGGTTACTTTTCAAAATATAGTTAGTTCTGTAATAAAAATTATTGCTTCAGTCAATCACCATCTTCATTAGCTATTGTGCATTAGTTCAGTAACTTTTATTTCCTTCCTTTAGGATTTTGTTAAACATTAATGTATATTAGTTAATGATACTGTCAGAGTATGGTGAGCTTTGGTATGAACCAGCAAACTTAACTGTACTGATTTCAATGGTTCTTGTTGATTTGCAGTAGTGAAAACTGCCACAATATTTAGTTAGTTTGTTTTCAACCAATATTTTGACAGCAATCCACTTGAAGTCTTGTACATATTCATTAAATCAAAGGTAATTTGAATATGTGTCTGACAAAGAAGTAACACAGTTTCTTTAAATATATAAAGTGTTATAGATTGGTCTCAAAATGTTTAGGTTTAGTTAATTTTTTAAATTTGATACAAAACTTTCATTATGCAGACTGAAAAAAAATAGACTAAAAAGATTGGGGTGTGAGGATACAAGTTATGAACTCATTGTAGTACAGACAGTTCTTTCAATAGCTTAACATCA